TCCTCTTTTGTTACAAATTTTATCGTTTGACAGTCGAATATTCGAAATCACATTCCCACCACAAAAAGAGTCCATTGTCAAACCAATTCGTGCATTAAAATCACCCATCAACAAAAGATCGTAATCTGATGTATAATCAGAGATCAAATCTTCTAGTCTTGAAATTAATTGATCAAAAATAGGTATATGAAGGTAAACCAATATGATTATCATTTCACGTAATCCTCTACTTTGCCTCCGATTAAATTTCACTTTAACAACCATCATGTATTGCCGTGACAGAAGCAAATTAACTTCTCCCAGGTCACCACTTATGGCCAAAAGTAACCCACCCGATGGTCTACCTCTCCCCAAATTTTTGGTGGCCAATATCTCAAAAACTTTAAATTTACAGTTAATACTTTTAACTCTCGAACATAAAGGAACTGTAGACCAAGTCTCAGTCAGTCCCAAAATATCAGTTCTGGTAATATGTTCAACAAAACCATTATCATTCAGATTAGTCAGAAAGGCGCCCTGGGAGTTCCATGCTGAAACTTTCAATTCTACTGTACACTTCCCTGAATCGGAGAGAGAACATTTGGAGAATCAACTACATGGCTTTCCACTAAAAAATCAAGTTTCAATAATTCTCCTCTAGCCAAATCATAAGTATATCTCTCTGAGGCAACCTGTAAAACGTCGGCCATCAATCGAACTCGCCTGCCCTCCAACCTATAAGCACGTAGAAAAGGCAGAAGCTTTTTCCGTCTCAATCTTGAGCGCCAGCATAAATCTTCAAAAATTTGTATATTTTTTAATACGTCATTGGCTTTTATCTTTCCAAGATTAGCAAAAATTAATTTTTTGTCTGCAAATGACTGCAATTCCACCAATACCATATCTGAACGTTTAAATTTCTCTATCTTAACCGTTGGAATAGGTCTTGATTCACCTATCAATGTATAAAACAGGTTCTGCACCTTCCTATTCAAATCAGAACCATCATCAATCAAACCTTTAATTAAAAAATTTTTCTTTCTCGCTTCATTCGACACCTTGTCCAAAGAATACAAAATCAAACTGTTTTCCCGTTGCAAATCATCTTTAATTTTAGAAATCTCTCCTAGTTTGGCTTCTAACTGAGTCAAACGCCGATCATGGTCATTATGTAAATTAGCCAACCAATCTATCTTCGCAACTACCTCATTTAACGTCGAAAAAAGCTTATCAAATCGGTCATCCAAATAAGAAATAACCTCCCCAGGAATAGACTTACTTGTGTCTGACTTTAAAGGGAAGAAATCTTCTAATCTCGCCGTTTTCAATGAAGGTTCACTCGGAGAACGATGTCGTTTAGCAGTAGATGCCGATGCCTGAATCTGTGAATGTGGCGGAGTGCGATCAACAGGACCGGGATTTAACTCTATCCCGCCCAGAAATAACAACAACTCGAACACCATAATCCAAAATTCGATATTTTCCATAATTTGGACTTCAAAGAAGCTCACGTAAAAGTTCACTAACACGCTCAACTGCAAGCAGCGCCTAAGTTATATTACTACTATCAATATTATTAATGATTAAATGTTAAGTAATTTGATGTTTCAGGTAGGTGTTAGGTAACCTCTTGCTAAATTGAATAATTATAATTAACAGTTGTAGTATTAAGCCCAATATGATCCAGTAATTGACTTTAATATATAACTATCAGATTTTAGTTATTGATATTTGTATTACAGTAGGGCGTCATTTATCCGAATCAATTGGGGACTGGGGTTGTTCGGATAACTTATTTTTCGGATAACCAATTATGTACGAAAAAATATATTAATTTATCCCGTGTTGAAATTTTTCTCCATTGCGTGTCGCTTCGCATTGAATTTTCGTCGATGTTAAGCCTAACGTAAACTTTTTATCGTTAAAAATGATTTTTTTATTTTGTACAAACAAAATAAATATATTGAAAAATATAAAAACAATAAAAAATTATACTTCAGAAGTTAATTTAGTATCAAAAACGTAAAATATTTGAGTAGCCGAAGACATAGCCAAAGATTACAGCGCCACAGCACTGGCGAAAATTTAAATTTGTCGACTGGAATTCCTTCGGATTACCGACCTTCGGATAAACGACGCTCTACTGTATTATATCTTTTATCTGTCTTAATTGTAAAATTTTTGTTATTGATAATTAAAATTGATGATAATCATTATAAAACAGTAAAACCTCAATTTAAAGGGACTTCAGGTTTAACAGACAAAATTTCTGGTCCCTATATTATATGTGAGAATTAACACACTTAATTTTAAAATGGTTTTTATATGTAATTAATTAACAGGTTATTTTTTTCAAAATTCAAGAATCACTGCTTTTTAAGAACATTATTTATTTATTTATTTATTTAATTAAATACAATTGAAGTTCACTTTTCAAGAAATGTTTATTTATTTCAACTTTGATTGTATACTTATTTATTACAGTAAAATTAAGCTTCTCATACATACATACATACATACATAATTTTAGTTACACAAATGTATTTACACAAATAAAAACATAAACTAATTAATTTGTCAATTTTTTAACATGTGTTTGGAAGACCTCCTTTATTGTATAACTGACTTTTGGGTTTAAAGGGCACCAGATCACCTAAATTTGTTTATTAAATCAAGATTTTACTGTAATTTATAAATTTGTGTGTTGGTACATAAATATATAAATTCTTACAGTGATGTATTACAATCTTATTTTGTTTTTTACTTTTTGACTATGAATATGCATCATCAATATTTTATAAAATATTTTACATTTTAAATATTTTTGATAGCTGAATGATGAAAACAAATTGATTATTGCTGATAATATTATATAAAGCTTATTTTAATATTAGTATTATTTATAAAATAGAATTTAGCAGCAACAGTAGATCATCATGCATAACTGGAATTGCCATACGTACAAATGTATTAGGATTTGTAAACTTTGTCCTAATTGAAAAATTTTCTCCTGGAATAGCCCAAGTCTATTTTAACCTGAAAATATTCAAATTTCTATTAAAAACAGTCAAAAAACAATTACTGTATAGGCATTAGGTGTTTGCAGGTGCTGTTCATGAATATGTCACTTGTCCTTATGTATGCATGCCTTTAATGACTGTGGTGCACATGTGTTCTGTTGGCTCTGTTTAGTGCTGTGTGATGATTTCAGAACCATCAATAAATTGATGGTTATTTGCAATTATTGACAATGGATCAATGATTATGTCTAGCCACAGTATAGGTTTTTTTATTCTTTCTGCTCCATGGACACTTACATGTTAGAGAAGGTTTTTAATCATGTTAATTATATATCTTGCTATGTCCATTATCAGGCAGCTAGATTTTTTAACAAAAACTTAGTTGAAATACAGTAAGTCAAACTAGTATGTTTGGTACAACATATAAAATATGTTCAATAATTGATAATCAATAAAATTAGTTTAATTAGAAATATTCACTTATTTTTGAGTAGCTACTGCTTATCTAATGCTGCATATCCATGAAATTTTATTGCAATGTTACCTCGCTTACAAGATCCCAATTTCTGATTTTGAACTTAGGTCAACTCTGAGCGTATATCATTTTGTGTTCTGAATAATATTTTATTGTAATGCAATTAAAAACATTCTTAAAATAAAAACTTCAAGGGATGCTATTTATGTTAATAAAATTTAGAACTAACAAAGAAAGAATCCCATTTGGGGATAAAGGTGGCAAAACCAAATCTGGTCTATTTGAAAGACCTTAAAAAGATAACATGTTGATGCACATAAATTCAGGTGTCATAACCAACACATTAAAGAGAGATTTTGCCAAGAAAATGCTGACAAACATCAAACTTTTCTTTTTGAGATTACTTTGTATTTACAATAATTTAAGTTCTTGGCATCAAGATTCAAAATCTGATATAGTATGCATTTTTCAAATGTATATATTCATCAGAAAGGCCTGCATCATTTGAAACACCCTTAGTGTTTTGCTTTGACTGTGGTCTTTTCAAAAAAAAAATGTAAAAAAATAAATGTTCTACTGTTGCATTTATGAAGTGTGCTCACTGTGAAAGATGTTTCTGCCTTGATCATTGTTTGCTTGTCCAGTTACACACACCGTACTTATCACTTTCTGTACATCAACAAAACTTTAGTGTTTGAATTCTTTTCATCATATTATTTTTATGTTTTTACTAGCTGCAAGGACCCACTTTGCTGGGTTTTTATTTGTTCGTACATTTGTATGTAATATAGTTTTTTTTATATATATATATAAAAGACTGTTTTTCTAAGTAATTTAGAATCTAGCTGCAAGGACCCGCTTTGCTGGGTTTTTAAAAAGTAACGATAGTGTGACCGTAGGGTCGGCACCTCTTCGGCGCCCTGTCAGGATGACACCACCGAGTCTCTAGGGGACTCGGAAATCGCGACTTTATGTCCTGAGATTCGTGAGCGGTAGCATGTGAGCGCTTGGATTCGGAGTAGAGGTGAGGAGAGAGACGAGGAAGTGACTCACTCGGACTCCATATTTTCTAACAAAAAATCAATTTTAATAATAAACAAAGAAAATACAGATATCGGCATATTAGCGGACTTAATTATACTATTCCGTTCGAGAGAGAGAGTTTACAACCGAATTGCGGGTTGATAAATACCTTTCTTTTTTCCTAGGTCGCAGATCTGTAGTATGATGACACTCTTGACTCCTCTGAAATGGTCTTTCCACTAGTTCTTGTCCGTTAATTGGATCTCGGAGGTGTGGAAGCACGGAAGTGGGGTGAGATTCTTAAGGAGACACGGTGTTACTTCTGTCA